TTCCACCCCACTGCAAAGCAACCACCACACCACCACCAACAAAACACACACACCCAACGCTCCACTTCATCTCCTCACTCCTCTCCTCCGCCTCGCCACCCGCCCATCCACCTCCAATCTCCTTGCCCCTCCTCCCACCCCTGCCCTACCCTTCACGCACCTTTTTAACCCACCCGTTCCTCCCGCCATGCCTACCGCACACCTCTCTTGCTCGAGGCACACGTCTTAGACTCACGCAGCCAGCGTATACCAGTCACTTCTGGCTCTGCCACCCCAGCCTGCCGTACACAGCCAGTTCTCCTACAGGTGTGACTCCCTACACCACAATAAACATTAGATAACCACATACCATCCACACCACGCCTGCTTACAACTGCACTGAGCAAGACTGGCCTTCAAGCTCACGATCTCTTCACTAGTCCGCAGCGGGGGCACTTCCTACCCTGCTTTACCCAAACAGAATCGCGCCGTACACAGCGTAATAACATACAACAAAAAGAGACGCTTATTCTTACACATAAGAAAAAAAAAAAGAGAAACACCATTATATTAAATAAGAAAACTTAAAGGTACAGTTGATAAATAGGGTATTGGGCAATTTATAAGAATTATGTTTTTCATTTTTCAGTTTTTTTAACAATACAAACCCATGTAATTACATAACCATAATCTTAGGGTTGGATTGGAGGAAGATGGGAACCAAAGGGGAAGTCGGAACCAAAATTTAATTTCCCCAATGGGAGGAGCATTTGAGAGGGGTTTACTCATCACTTCTCCACCCCATCTGTCCCAAAAAAACAGATTTAATAAGCGACGTCACAAACTCCCTGTCCTCTGTTAATTGCAGGCTTCAGGGCCCCCTCTACCTACACACACAGCCCCAGGCGCCGCCACCAGCCGTGCGCGCGGAGGCGCCGAGCCTGGGGCTGGGCTCATAACACGCATCCTCTGGGGCCAGTTGGTATTACAAAAAGCGAACGAAACGACACTTTCTTCGCTACCCGCCCAGGGGGCTTCCACCTGCCCCCCACAGGGCCAGTGGCGTCCACCCTGACAATCCTGTGGAATCTCGGAAAGTGCCTCTCAGGAGGGGGTAATCGGTTTCAGCGGACCGTGTTCCGACTCGTTCTGTCTTTTTGAGGAGTTTTGTTCGGGCATGGCCACACGCTGTGGTTTTCAATTCTTGAAAACAACCGGAAGACACACTTTGAATGGGCGGAGACCAGAGAAGGAGGGAACTGCGGAAGGACGGGAAAACACGACTGTGGCAGCGGCGGCGCAACATTAATGGAAGAAACCTGCTTTCCGTTACTTTGGTGCTCCCTGAGTCTTCCGGCAGCAGCGTGGGGGCTTCTGCTGCTCCGCCAACGTCTTGCCTGCCAGCTGCCGCTAAGCTTACGCTGAATGGCGGTGAGCGTCTGGCGGAGACACACGGCGTCCCCGTAAACTGGCTCTGTCCCTCTCTCGCGTCTCTCTCCTCTCTCCGCCCTGCCATCCCTCGACCCAGGCGGTCTGCTCTGCCAGCTGCGCGTTTCCCTTTCCAGTGCGTGTTGTGTGGCGCGGGTGGAAGACGACGGGGGGGGGCGCTCGGTGAGAGATTGGCATTGCCCTGAGCTGCTTGGCTGCTGCTGTTGGCTGCTGCTGCTGCTGTTGGTGCTGCTGCTGTTGGTGCTGCTGCTCGCCTTCGCCTGCTGCTGCCTGCTTGGTTGGTGCTGCCTGCTGATGCGCGCTGCGCTCCGCTCGCTGCTGCTGTTGGTGATGGCTGACTGGTGACTGTGTTTGCTCGCTAGCTGTTGCTGCTGCTGTTGCCTGCTGCTGTTGCGTTGTTGATTGTCAGGTGGTGCTCGCTGCTCGCTGGTTGTTTGGTGCTGCTGCTTGCTGTGGTGGTGCTGCTGCTGCTGCTGTTGTTGTTGGGCTGCTGTTGCTTGTGCTGGCTGCTGCTGTTGGTGCTGCCGTTGCTGGCAAGTTCTGTTGTGGGTGAAGGTGGTGTGAGGATGAGTGGTGGTTGGGTGCTAAGGAGGAAGATGTAGAGGAGGAAGGCAGACCCACTAGGGCAGGGCTGCGCGCTCCATCCTGTCCTAGCTGGCTGAATGCTGGATGTTCGCTGTTGCACAGTCTACCTGCTGGCTGAGCTGCTCGTTGATCTGTCCGCTAAACTCCCCCCCCTCTGCTGGTGCTTGATGAGGCGGGGGCTTGGAGAGGAGGCTTTGGAGCTGCTAGCTGCCCTAGGGACAGAGCTCCCTGGCTGGGCCCACGGCGGCTCAACGCTGCGGCCACGCGACTCTGGAGCTCACCGCTAGAACATTCCTCATATCAAACGCTGAGCTCCTTGGAGAGTAGATGTCTGGGAGGCTCAATTCACGTACGAACTGTTCGACTCAGCGTGGTGAAGTAGCTTTGCTCTTTTCTGATTGGATAACCGTGGGATGGATGGTGGCCCGCCTTGGGGTTGGGGAGGGAGAGTGCCGGGAACTCGGACCCAGGGAAGGCTGGGGTCTCCTCTGCTCCCTCACGTCCGGTCCATGCCGGGTCGCTTGAAGCGGCTGGATCTTACCATGGTAGGGAGCACTCGATGCTCCTCCTTCACGGATCTGCCGATCCTCTCTTTGTACTTTACTGCTCGATCTGCTGCCTTGAACGCATCCTGTGGAAGAAAATATAGAAATAGATATGTTGGATTTCTCATTATCAGACGACACGATTCGCAGCACTTCTTCAAACAGGCTCATCTTGATTAACAATGTAGTAGTGGTCCATCTCCAGTACTCAAGACAGAGAGCACTGGTACCCTCAGCACAGGAGAGAAGGAAACACAAAATGCCCCTTTTCCACCACAGTTCTAGCTCCTTGCTTATGCTTTTCTGATTCCGAACCGGTTCTTGTGTTTAGCTGGTTGTGTTGTCCACCGGGCCGCAGAGCCCGGACTGGCTGCGTGCATCATGACATCAACTTGTTTACGTTGCTGATCGTGCTGGCTTTTAACAACCAGATTACCAACACAACATGAGACGTCTGAGTCAGTTGTGATCGCTCCAGTTGCCCTTCTTAAGTATCAACCAGATTTATATTAACTTGTGTCTTCTCTAGTTGCTACCTTTCTCAGATTGCCCTTACTTGTTCATTGCTATATAAAGATAGATCAATCCAGTCTGCCATTTACCGGACCGCCATACTGACAGCTCCTGCCCTCCGCTATCCAATCACCGGAGTTTATTCTACCCATGTGGTCTGAACCTCACGGCAGAAGTTTACGTCTCCCGTTAACTCACACGCCTAGCGCGCCGCTGGAAAGTATTCACTGTTCTGATCTGTCGACACCAAGCAGCTGACAACATAATCCGTAGCTCCACCCATCCCCATAAGGTGAATGTGTGTCAGTCCTGAATTGACGCTGTCTCACTGGCATCACAACCGCTGTTATGAAAAGTTTCTCTGGTAATAAATGGCTGATGTCTAGCCATAGCAACCGAACCTATATCTGACTATCTATGTACATTGCTATCCTTTTATTGCTAAGCCATTTTCAACAGAGCATATTTACACGATATTTTCGTCTATCATACTAAGCCTGGTAAGTGTTGCCTGACCTTTATAAAGCTGGTGCAGCTTTGACCCTTTTTACAAGTGTGTGGTGGCGCTAATGCTTGTTTCCTTTTTATTTGCGTACTCGCCCACAAACCTGTTATTGCTCAGGTTAATCTCGCCCCCCTCGACGTAAGCGTTACGTATTGGTTCTTCTTGCCGGGCAGCGGAGTGGGGCCAGCTAAGAACCGGTTTCCGGTGCTTAGAGCCGACTCTGCTGCGATGGAAACAGGAAGAACCAGAGCTTAATCAGGGTCTAACCCGGAACCGGCCCTGCAAACGGTTTGGTGGAAAAGGGGAAAAAGAGTTCTTATTTATTAAAAGAAAGAAAAATCGTCTGGTAATATATGAGTTATTTTAAACCATATTTCCACCACACAGATACATTTGTTTACCTTTTAGTCTTTTCTTTTTTCTTCATCAGTATTGCATGTTGACTCAGTGTTTGATATCAGTTCCGTTTCCTAATCGTCTTGTCTTATGGCGCATTTCCACTACAGCGCGGAGCTCGCTTTAAGCATGCAGAGCCGTGCAGGGCCCGTTTTTGGTTGCGTTTCCACTAGGCGTAGTATCGGCTAGCGGGTACTATTTCACAGTTTTCTGGCCCCATAAAATCGAGGATCTTTCTGGGCCAACAACCAGGCTGAGTTGGGCTGAGTATGCTAAACTAGAGAGAAAATCGCTGGCAAGGGGGCTACAACTACAACAAAATGAACATATTTGACAGTGATTTAATTGTAATACACGTTTCAAAATGATGCAGAAGTAACAACATACTGATACCGGTTAGTAAAAACCATGAATTAATGCTTTGACAAGTCTGCAGACAGACGGCAGGCGAACAACTTTTTAAAATGCGTGTTTTCTAAATGGAGATCGGCTAAGCTAACGTTGTATATGCTCCGACTGTCCACACTCACAACAACGGCCTATACAGACATAAATAAAGCAGCGACTGTATTCGCCATGACACAGACAGTCTGTGGTTTGTACTTGTTTAACTGTTGTCTAGTTTCTGAACAGATATGAGGAGCTGTGAGCTCTGAGTGCTAACAGCTAACGGCTGATGTTGTTTTTCTGGGGTTCTCATTGAAGATGACGTCACGGCTCCGCCTACACTGCGTTACTAGTTACTATCCCAGCTACTAAACTGTAATGGAAACGCAGGATAAAGTGAGCCAGTCCTAACAAGGCCTAGCCATACCGAGCGAGGCCGTGTAGTGGAAATGCGCCATTAGTAGTTGTAACAGAAGGTCGTTGCTGAACATTTTTCCTCAGTTTTGTTAACAAAATGTCTCAGCCCCATGCGCACATGTATCAGTCTTTTTGATTGCATTAAATTAATTTATGTATGATTATTTGTATCCATTTTATTTTTTATTTTGAAATATCAAGTAGTTATTTGGCCTTATCTATGAAAAAATACAGTTACTCAAATTACAATAAGGTTTCTACACAGTTGAAAATGTTTGTAATACTACTACTCTATGGCCACTGCTACGTCAGATGCTAGTGCAGCTGTGTACTTGCCATGCGGGCCTTGCTGTGGGGGTCCATGTAGAGGCGGTGCAGGTGTACTTCTTTCCCTGTGGGGGTGCGACTCCTGTCTGACTGCTCCTGCTTCAGCTGGGCGAGTGTCAGCGTCCTGATCGGGTCCACAAAGCCTTTCTTATCCATCTCCCTACAAACAGACAAGCCAAACATTTAACAAGTCATCACGTTTCACAAGGTTCCCTTATAGATTTCAACCAACCAGGACAGGAAATGACAGCCCGGTGTTTTTTGTGAATGTATGACATTCTTAGGTAACATCCAGTTTAGGCCATCAGCAGGGTATTACTGGCTGCTCAGCAGATCTTAATGCACATGATCTAACTAGGCTAATGAGAGAGACGGGTGGTGTGTGATGCTGTGTGTTTGTGTATTCGCTGGTGTCTAAACAATGGCCGGTGGTTACATAAGGAGAGCTGCTGAATGGACGGATTCTGTCTGAACTGTTAATATTGGATTTGTGTAACTTCAGTTAATCTGCCTGACCGGGCATTACCTGTCTGAGTCTCAGCGCTGCTCTGTGTGAGCCCTCTCTCTAGACATATCTAGCTTTAAGCAGGAAAGGGCATACTGATCAAACACACAAAGCAGCCATTGTTTGCCCCATCTTGCTTCCTCCCAAGCGCTTCTCTGAACCCTCTCTAGGTCAGAGGAAGGCTGTGTGTCCCCTGCGGCCCTCTGATCGAGAATGACTATCTTCTTATCAGCCTATTATCTAATAATGCTATGAACGTGTGAAAATAGTTTTAGATGTACATGTTAAAAACTGGTCTTTTACTCACTCTTTATGTGCGTTCATGCTGGCCTTTGACAGTGGAGGGCTGGCGTGTGTGTTCATCTTGACGGAGGGGCGGTGGGGATCGGCGCTGGCTGGCCGTACAGGAACGTGGCTCAGAAGACCCAGACCATCAGCCCCCCCCCCAGCCTGGTGCAGCCACGGACTGGTTGTATTCTGCACACATTACACACACATAAAACATGTTCAAATAATTACCATGAGTTAAAACATTTTTTTTAGTTAAGCCAAAGTTTTTGCTAGATCCTGCATAAGTCAAATACTACTATACTACTAAAAGTTTATATTTTCACATATAGCTTTCAAGCAATTGAATGCCAACAGCAACATCCATTTGATTTAGTTTCAGGGGTTTCCTCATTAATTTGCCCGCCTGCCACAATCTGTTTTCCCTCCATCCCATCCCTCCTTCTCTCCATTCAAATGTTCTCCTTGTTCAAGAATAAACCACAGGTTTGCATGCACAAATCCTCCAAAAGGACAGAAACGAGTTAACATCCGTACACCTACCCTCCTGAGAGACACTTCCGAATTCACAGGATTGTCAGGGTGGACCCACTTGGCTGTGGGGGGCAGGTTGAGCCCTGGGGGGTAGGAAGAAGGTGTTCCGTTGGGGTACTGCCAGAGGATGGGGTAGAGGCCCAGCCCAGCGGCCCCACTGTGGGCCTGGGCTAGTAGAGGGGGGCCCTGAGCCTGAATACAGAGACAGAGTTGTACGTTTATTATCTTTTTGACAGAATGGTGTAAATAATGAGTAAACTCTCATGTGCTCATTGGATAAATTCACTTCCTGGTTCCCATCTTCCCTCCAATCAACCCTAGATATGGATATTATATACACTGTGTTACTTTTAAGTGAAAAACATAAATTCTTATAAATGTGCCAACCTTTTTATAACCTATTTATTTCTATTTAATATAATGTGTGCTTTCCTTCTCTATATTTAAAATGAGCTAGCTCTTTACACAGCCTTTTGACCTGCTACGCCACTTTTGCTGTAAAACAGTAAATGTCCCCGCTGCGGGACTAATTAAGGAATTCTGATTCTGAACAGTCTTGGCCATTGCAGTTTAACATGGCGGGTTGGTGTGTATGTGTATCTAATGTTTATGTGTGTATGGAGTCACACCTGTAGGAACTGCTGCTGGTGTACGGCGGCTGGGTGAGGCAGACCAAGGTGACCTAACCCGCTGGGGGAGTCAAGACGTGGGTGGCCCCCGAGAAGAGAGGCTGTGGGCGGAGGCATGGCGGGGAGAACCCCGGGGGGTAAAAGGTGCGGGTGAGGTAGGGCAGAGGTGTGAGGAGGGGCAAGGAGATGGGAGGTATGGGGGTGCGATGCGGAGGTGAGGCAGGGGGAGTGAGGGGAAGGGGAGTGAAGAGTGTGCAGGTGGGGGTGGAGATAAGCTGCCACGTGGTTGGAGGAGATGCTGACAGAGACGGAGTTCTCTGCGGCTGAACGCACCAGGGCGGGGTCTCTGTAAACCGTGAATGTCTCGTTCTTATTGATGATGAAGGGGCTCTTCGTGCTGCTGACCCCACCCGACTCCAACCGCACCGGCACTGGCTTGAAGCAGGACCGCGGAGGTTCTGCTGGTTCTACTTTAGCTGACAAACGACCTATCGGCGGAGGGGAGGGGCCAGAGTATCGCTGTATTTTATGTTTAGAGACCTCTGGGGAGGTGTTGGGTTTGGGTTTGGAGCTGTCCAGCAGGCCCGGGTGGGGCTTAGCTTTGAGAGGCTCAGCTGGGGTTGTGTTTGGGTAGGGATGGCTCTGAGAGTTGTTGGAGTGCTGGGGTTTCTGTTTCAGGGAGTCGAGTTGGGCTGGGTTGGGGCTGGTTTTGGATTTGAAGTCAGGAGGGATGGCTGCATTCATCTTGTTGGGGGGTGGGTGCTGCTGGGGGGGTTTTCTCGTCTCTTCAGACAGAGACGGGCTATTAATGCTGGGGTGGACAGATGTGTAGTGTTGCTTCTGTTGTGTGTGCTGTTGCTGTTGCTGCTGCTGCTGCTGCTGCTGTTGCTGCTGCTGCTGCTGCTGCTGCTGCTGTTGCTGCTGCTGCTGCTGCTGCTGCTGCTGCTGCTGATGATGCTGATGCTGAAGATGATGAGGAAGGACAGGTTTCTCCTTCTCCACAAGCAACACATTTTCAACCATCGATGTGACAGGCCTAAAAAAACACAGAAAAAATGTATTTTAGATTATGTCAATTTAAAATGACCTTTATTTTTGTATTTACACTTGAGCTTTTGGGGGACAAAGACTTCAGACAAAGAAAACTAAAGCACAGCAAAGCAACCTTGTATTTAAAATAACACTATTTAAATGCAGACTTAAACTCAAATCGACAGTTTGAAAACTTCAGTCACATTCACATTTCACAAAGGAAGGAAGGACGGTTCTTATCAACCCCCAAACACTTCCACCAGAAATCAGGAAGTGGTGTATTGCATCACTACAATAGTTAAAAAAGCAACCATGGCTCCGACCTGCTGCATGGACATGCAGATTTATAGCATTCAGTGATCACCTGATCTGTCTGTATTCTATACTGCGTCTCATTTTGAAGGCCATTAGATGGGACTGTTGCAAATATCTGGTACCATGTTGAGAATCAGATTTTCTATCTCACTACAAAAGTCAGCCAGCATATCAGGACATTCAGAGGGGCTATATTTATAAACTGAACTGAAGCCTTCTGTTCTCACCTGATGACCTCAGAGGGAGCAAACTCCATCTTGTTTCCTGAGCTCCGGACTGCTGTCGTGCCGCCTCCTGTAAGGCCATGCTGCTGCTGCTGTGCGGAAGGCTCAGTCTCTGCCTTGCGGCCTCCTTCTGAAAGCGAAGGAGACGGAGGGACGGGAGGCGAGGACACAGGGGAGGGGTTGAGGGGGAGGTAAGGTGAGAGTGCCGTGGACTCTGCATTCTGTGAGGCGAGCAGCGCTGACACCGCCTCGGAGCTCTCCTGGTGCACCGTGGCCTGAGCCTCTTCTGTGATGTCGGTCACAGCGCCGCCGCCGGGCTGGGAAACCGCCGGCGTCTGTGACTGAGAGGACACTGCAAAAAGAGTTATACTGTAAGAATACTGTCCAGGCTTGGGGAGTAACTGCTTTACAGAATTAGGATACATGTGCATTTTATGAACACAAATATTTTGCAGGATGACATTTATAAAATATATTTTAAAATAAAGAACTATATTATAATGCTGCACAAGCACACACATAATATCACCCGCTGAGTTCCCATTACTTTGTATGTTTTGTACTTTTCAGTACAGAAAAGTACAAAAAGTCATAGAAGATCTTTCTTCATAGGAGTAAGCAAACAATATTTAATTTCTGCTTAAGAAGTGATAACATACGACAACCGAGACATTTGTTAATATAATTGATATGGGTACTACTGCTGCTCCAAGATTAAATCAGACAACTTGACAGCATTTTTACAGCTGAAAGGCAGAACTTTGCATATTTGGTATTGAGGTAATCCAAAAGTAATGAATATACGTGACCATAATATTGTGATAAGTGAATCAGGCTACTGACTACATTCTGTTCACAGCTCATTAGTAATTGTGCTGTAATCCTTTTTAAAGTATACTGTAAATATGCCTCTACCTTTCACAGTGTTCTTGCTGCTCTCCATACTGCCTGCCTGAAGACTGTCAGGCATCACAGGCGTTTGTTGCCGTGGAGACTGGGTGATCTGTGTTACCGCGACCAACTCCTCCTCCTCTTTTGTTGTAATTTTGCTCGTTTCCTTAACCACGCCCTTCTTAGTGTCCTCCTGAAGCTCCGCCCACGGGGATAGGCGACCAATGAGAGACGAGGAATCATTCATTTTGTTGGCCGGCATCAGCGGCTTCTCCTCTTCCTCCTTTTTGGAAACAGCGCTTTGTTTCACATCACTGATGCAAGTCTTTAGCTCGTTCTCAGAGTTGGGCTCTGAGGAGGAGGAAGAGGAAGATGAGGAGGATGAGGAGGAGGATGAGGAGGAAGAAGAGCACGAGGAGAGGGCAGCCCTCTTGTTGAGTGGGTTCTCTGAGTCGCTGCTCTCTGATAGGTCAGAGGTTATGTCCGTCTTCAGCCTCTTTAGACTGGCCTTCTTCTCCTCTTCCTCGCCCTTCCTGCGTTTGTTTACTGCCTGCTTAGCCTTTTTGGACTCTGGACAAGAAAAGAAAAACAAATTATTTTTCAATCACAGCTTGAGTTCACTCTACCACCTGCTGTTGTTTATTGTTGATTAGGAGTTATACAAATGCTCTCCTTAGAACAATTTTTGCAAATCAGTTATGTGATACAATTGTTTGAATCATAAACCAAAAGGACTTCAATGTGTTGTATGTTGAAGGTGCAGTTTTAGGAACACTTCACCGCTAGATGGATATAAATTCAAATCCAGAATTGTCAATTTAATTTAATCGCTGCTTTGAGAACAGCCTGGAATACCTATAATTCTCTTGGATATTACGTTAGTGTATGGCAGGGATCACCAACTACATTTGTCCAAGGGCCGATTTTTATATAGCCCAGAATTTTGAAGTTGTTGACCGGGGGGGGGGGCTTAGCAGACTCTTCACGCTAACGAAGGATCACATCTAGGCAGGGTTGGGAGGGTTACTTTGTAAATGTAATCAGTCACTGAATACTGAATACATGCTCTGAAAGTAATCAAAATACAGTTACAGTTACGTGTCTTAAAAAAGTAACGTATTCAGATTACTTTTAGAATACTTTTGGAATACTTTATTTTTCCATAACAGATGGGTATGTTTTGGTGAACAGGAGAAACTTATTTTACTGTTTTAATGGCTTATCAAGAACTCAAACACAACATCTTGGTGTCCTTCTGGACAGCTCCCTCTCATCTGCACCCCACATAAAAAACCTCACCCGGACTGCATTCTTTGTACCGTCTTAAAGCCTTTCCTTGGAATATGTTATGAATTGTAAGGTGTCCTTGGGTGCTTTGAAAGGCGCCCCTAAATAGAATGAATTATCATTAGGGCCCGAGCACGATGTGCTAGGACCCGACGGCTTCCTAGCACGAAGTGCGAGGAAACCTATTGTTATTGGTGGTATTATTCTTATTATGGTTCTGGCGTTTCCTGTTTTGAGGTCTTGAGGATGCTTCAAAAGTTGTATAATTTTGCACGGATTCCAGAATCGGTGAAAAATACAATATTCTGGACTCAATGTGTTCAAATTGTCCAACATGCTCTCTAGCGCCACCTATGGCCATTTCCATTTTTGGAAAGATGTACAAAGTCGCACCGTAACTCCGAATGACCTGACATTTTGCACACTTATTCGGGTGGACCTGCTCTCCTTGAACCCTTCCCATCCTTTTAATTAGCATAATTTTAAAAACAGTTAAATATTCACATAAATTTCAAATTTTTGTTTTTCAACACCAAACTCAGTATACAGCATCGCTGGAGGGTCAGACACATTATCGTAGGAAATGAGCATGTTCAGTCGATAAATGTGGCTCTACTCTAAACGTGTTTGCAAAAAGGCGGGGCTTAGATAAAAATGCTCATAACTCATCAACAATGTACCAAAAAAACACACTTTTTTGTGGTAGGGTTCAGTCTGTATAGGGGAATAGGCACAAAAAGTAACTTTCATTTTGGACTATAGGGGGCGCCAAAAATATGACAAATGTATAACTCATGAACTGATGGACAAAATCATTTAATTTTTTTTAGACATGCTCTGGGTATGAGTATGAACTTATATTTAAAGTGTCACAACGAATGACAAATGTGGGCGTGGCCTGTACTTTTTTTTTATGACGATGTGCTAAAATGTGCTTCGGAACGCAAAACTTGGGACACACGTCAAAGCCCACAACCTTTTCGAGAATGTTAAAAAATATATAGTTTCTCAGAAGTTCACGAATTTTGGCACAGACATTCCTCATAGAGTTGCGGACATATTTGTAGCTAGCTTTCATTAGCCCCGCCCCCCAGGAAGTTGGCCATTTTTAAAAATGCGTGTTTTTCATGCATTTTAAGCACATTCTTGCGAACTCCTCCTAGGGGAATGATCGGAAAAATTATAATCCAGCACAAGTTCAGCCCCTATCCAATGTCATAATACATTGAGAAGGAATAGTCCGCTCAAACGGGGAGCTTGTAGGCTAACTGAGAATATACAATTTTTGACAGATAACCTGCCTGTCTGCCTGCCACATCAACTCTCTCACTCACACACACACGCACGCACGCACGCACGCACGCACGCACGCACGCACGCACGCACGCACACAAAGCCAAACATCCAGGGGAGATCTGATAAGTGAGTAAACAAACGGTAAAGGGCGGAAAGTCTGATGCACATTTGATCATCTTGAATAACTTATACTGTATATATATAACTGTGCTTCGTTGACATAAGTCGAGCCATGCGTCACGCCTCTTTTAAACATCACTGTTGGCTGAAATCGACTCCGGAGAATACATCAGTGTACCCTCGGTTATAGCTCCTCCAGAGAGACTCCTCTCTCCTCTACATCTTTGTACCCTCGGTTATAGCTCCTCCAGAGAGACTCCTCTCTCCTTTCTCCTCTAAATCAGTGTATCCTCGGTTACGGCTCCTCCAGACAGTCTCTTCGATAATCGATCCTCGACGACCCTTTAGAGAAATTAGTTTTCCTTCGAGACGGTGTGCCGACATCCGTTTCCGGGTCGCTGCCGGAGGACCTGGGAGTATGTGACGCGAAAATTATAGAAATGACAAACGGCTAATTTCCCAATACTCGCGCGCGTCTGCTTGACGCCGGGACGACCGGCTGCCCTCGCCGACAGGTGCATGGATGCGAGGGCCCGCTCATCACTGCGCGCACATGTGCGACCACAGTTTTAATTTTTTTTATTTTCCAACCTGGTTTTCCTACGTTTTTCATGAAAAAATATGTCTGAGGAGTGTAGGGTTTGGGAATTATGGCAAGTTTAAAACATTTTTGGGGGAGAATTTCAAGCACTGCTCCACTCTGTTTTGACATCAAAGCTTCTATGGAAATCTTAGACCTAGTCAATACTGTGGAGATATACAATTAGAATGATCAATCAATAAACTGGTGAAACAAACAGAGTTGTCTTTCTGGATCTTTATTCGAGGCGCCTCGAAGGCACAAGTCTCACAGAGTACAGGGTAGTCTGCAGGAGTGTGCGCAATAGTCACAGAATAGCAAAGCTTATCTACAAGATAGGGCAGGCAGACAGAGTTTTTGTGTAGCTAGGCGGAACGCCTCAGAAATCTGCTTTCACACGGATGTCTCATATTGTTATTAGACAGCTGTGTCCTTGAGCTGTAGAAAGTATAACGGTTATCAGAATATGGAAGTTCAAACTTTGTGTGAAGAGGAGTAGTTTCAACATAGTCTGCCAAATCAGCTCTGTGGCCTTGAAGCGCTTAAGAATAATAACCCTCATTAGAGTATGCACAGAAAACAGCATACAGTATATCAGGAAATGGTACAGTAGTGTTAGAAAATGCTTTTAGAAGCATTTGGTTTTAGCATATAAGGTAACATAAGAAATTGCCACTACATTCCCCCCTTTTGATCATACTTGATCAATCATGAAAATAAAACAAAT